GACTGCGATCCTCTTGGCTCAGCTGACACGGGTCAAAACATCAAATTACACAATCACCCCATGCATGGGGTGATTGTGTAATTTGATGTTTTGACCCGTGTCAGCTGAGCCAAGAGGATCGCAGTCATTTTTCATCCGAAAAGTTGGAGATTTATTTCAGCGTATTGTTGAGATTATGAGGGATCCGATGATATAAAAATCCCCCTACCTACACTAATCATAATGAAGATAATTACCCTTTACGAAAACTGGAATGTACCGTTTATTTTAGCGATGATTACAGAATCACCCCAACGGAAGCTATGTGTTTTACAGATTCATCCCAACTGGGGCGAATCTGTAAATTCTTTGGAAGATCGTTATTGCGAAGGTATTTTTTGACAATTTTTCACAGGTAGATAGCTAAGAGTCTCAATTACATGACTGCACCGTGCACAAAAATCATCAAAATTAAAAAAGTTCTTTGATAAATACTGAAGAGCTCGACGAAAAATTTTACATAATCGCCCTACTTCACTCTAGTACCGAAGCTATAATTATCTGCATGAAAACAATAATTACATAATCTCTTCCACTACTAAGGAAAAGAAAACGAAATTTTCAAGATTTAACTCGTCAATTTACCTCTCGGAGACACAACACGTAATCGCATCGCCTGTTAAGACATGAATATTGTTTCCACTCTGAAACATCAATCAAAAACTTTTTGTACGAGAAACTTGTGATTTTTTTTTGAAAAATTTGTTGGTTTTGCCAGAAAAATCTATTTTTAAGAAAGTAAAAATTTTGTATCACTGCAAGACGTCAATTAAATTCCAAGTCATTTATATAGATGCCATTTTTTAAATTATCAAAATATTTAACTATATGGTTCAGACGTAAATATACACTAGTCGACAATCAACTTGGTCTGAAAAGTTGAATCAGCTATATGCGGTTGTATCAGGGTTGAATAAGACTGCATCACAATGTATCTTCTGATTCAGAGATGAAAATTCGGAGCAGCTTATTCAACTCCGAATCACTCATTAGAAGAAAAAGTTTATGTTAAGAACAAAGATCTCTAAACTCGGAGAAAATTTAGAATAGTACGATACTTAGATAACTTTGCCTATTACAAATATTTAACTACAGTGTTACACTTTTTTTGCACATATGCCTATCATACAAAATGATCCAGTCATAAGAAAGATATTTCTCTCTACTGAAAATACTATAGTGCCTTTTTCGAAACATTGAATCATTACTACAAATAGCTCGTACTCTGATAACACTTCGAGACAACATTTTCAGTTCGTGAACTACATTAACTTGTATTTGATTGTGTACCGTATGTTTTTCTCTTCAACTCGACATAATATTAGAAAAAAAAACAAGTCTTACTTGATCATTCGATTCTGGATGACGATTTGGAATAATATATTTTTGTGGTGAAGCAGCACGATAGCCAGCATAAGCAGCGACTCCAATAACAAAAGCGCCTGTAAGCGCGTATCCCATTTTTTGTAAAATTGAATTAAAAGCATCATCCTTTAAAATTTGTAGCGGTGTAAGAGACATTGTTTGGATACTTAATTAAAACTTAATTTTATTTTATCAATCGAAAAATAAATGTTTGAAATAACACTGTTCGATAACTGTATGTAATTATGTCATTTTCATATAAAATCAATCGTATTGTTCTAAAAAAATATTTTACTAATATTTGGCAGTCTGTACAAAAACTATCGAAGAGGACATTTGACTGCTTTATATTATCTTACTCCTCTGATATTAAACGATCAAAAATATACTTCTTTACCTCTTCTTTTTCAAGCGGAAACACCCACTATATTATAATACTCACTCGAAAGACGTTTATTTGATTTTTAAACTTGTTGTTCTTCTTTCGATAGTATTGAACAATACGAAATGACTTCACACACACACTTGTGGTTATATATTTATTTTCTATTTATTTTATACAGTAAAACACGTGTACCATATGGAAGAAAACAATGTGAGAATAAATGTATAGAATATCTACATATTTTCTTTCTCGCGCATTTTTTTTCTTTATACAATAACTTTCATTCGTCGTTCTATATTTGATGAGTTAGTGTAGAGACCTCAATTCGATCCATTCGACAATTGTATAGACACTTAGACTCATGTCTAATGTCGCTTTTTCCATATCATTTGATATTATTAACCAATTAGCAATAAATTGATAGGATACAGAGATAAAGGAGTGTTCGGAAGCGCCGCCAGGCTCCAAAGTCATCAGGAGAAAAATCTTTTCGAGAATCGGATGTCAGTTTTGTAAAGTTCCATTGGAAATTAATGATGTCTTTTTTTTCTTGTCAGTTTTTCAAAATAGGAGTAAACGTTTCAAAATTCGAGTTAAATTTTCGTGCAATAAGAGTGCACGAATACTCGAAAGCAGGAGGTTGTCCTTCCGCGCTTCCACTGCGTTAAGAATACTAAATTTTCTTTTTGAATCTCCATATTCTCTTCTTTGTTACTGTTAGAACGCAAGTAAAAGTCACAGTATCGCAGCGAAAGTTGTATTGTCGTGTCACATGGCTTTGACTGGCACACCTTCTCTATTCAGCAGGTGACGCCGCTATGACGGAAAAAGAAAATGATATTTCTAGTATACATAACACTGATCTACTTTCTTGTCCTATTTCTTGTGAGATTCTTATCGGAAATCGATGACAAGACTCTTGACTGAAATCACAAGACACAAATTTCAACCAAGAATTTTGAGATAAAAATACATGTAAATTATTTAACAAGATTCTTGTGTAAAGAACCAAGAGACAAGAATCTTACAAGAAATAGAAAAGGAAAGTCGATTACTGGATGCATGGGATAGTAATTTTATTCAATATTGAAGGGTAATAAATTGACACTATAGAATTAGACTTCTCCATGGGTGCTAGAATGCCACTTGATTCTAAACAGGTGGTTTCTGAAACTGTCCGAAATGGTCGCGTAGAAGGAAGTAAGCAATCTCCTTTGTTTGAGAATTTCATGGTAAATATATCGTTACTTCTACATTTATTAAACAGAATATCTACCAATGATGCGGATAGTTTCTATTAGAATTGTAACATTAGTCGACACTGCTCAATGATTTCCAAGAAAAATCTCTGCAATCTCCTTTTTTCAGTAGTCTGTTAAAAGGTTTAATTATTCTGGATGTAGGGAAAATGATTTGACATTTTCGTTCATTCACCATTTGGTTTTGATATTGTACGTGCTGTGCTGTATGAAGAATATAAGATTGTCGAAAATTTGTCAACTCGAGTTGTCAGTAATCAAAAAAAAGAAAATATTTCGAAGGCTTTTGATAGTACCAAACAATTGAACTGGATATCCCGATTCACTTTTATGCCTCTGGTCATAGATAAGATCCAAACCTTTGATTCTTGTTTCAAACTAAAGGATGATATCATCAATTCTTAGAATTGTTTGCGGAGGCTCAATATCAATAGAAGGAATGCATACTTTTTTGCGATTTATCACGTCCAAAACTGAAATGTCACTATGTGATCGTTTGTAATTGAAAGAAGAAAAATAGCAAATATTTGACTATATATAGTCTAGATAAGTCTCGAAGAATAGAGAGAAAGAATAGTACCAATATTTTAGTAAGCAGTAACTAGTTTTAACTTTGTTCTGGCCGTGCATTGAAAAGGATGAGTGGCGCGAACACCATTGCTTTTCAAAGAAGTTAAGCAAAACATGAGTTATACGTATCCCTTATTATGGATCATCATATTTCATTTTTGTGAATATTGTTTAGCTGAAAAATTAACATATCCTACATCCGTTTATCAAAAACGTAATATAAATTTGTCTGATAATATAATTAGAAGTAACAGAACGTTAATAACAAACAAATCATACATATTGCTCATTAAACGTGATGCAAAAGATCGGCTCGCTTTTGGTCACGTACAGAGTGGCGATAGTAGCGGGCATAAATTAGCATTGTATACGTTTTTACCTCGCCGACCATGTAGAGGTAATTATAAGTTTCATATTATTATTAAATAAAGAATTGTGGAATGAATGAAACATTAATTTTATTTCTATTTAGGTAAAATGTTTCTAGAAGAGTTGGTTAAGAAATTTTGCGATGACATTGAATTTGATTATCAATCAAACGAAGATTATGCAGACGACAATAAACGTCGTTCTATTTCGGAAATAATTCGTTTTAGACGAACTTTAATGATCGAACCAAATAATAGTATAAATGTAAAGTACGCTATTGCAAAAATGTTAAGGGGTATCAGAATCATTGTCGACTAGTTGAAAATACTCAAAATAGACTAATATTTAAACGTTCTGAAACAACTCATTAAAGTGAAAATATCTTTTACAGAAAATAATTTTATCATTGGAATCTGTCCCATATAAACGTCTTCAGTCCTTAAAAGCAGAGCATACATAAATATTTGCTACTAGAATATATAAGAGACATGATCAATGAAAATTCACTTTAACTAGGTTAATTTTATATGAAAAAAATTTGCTACGACCATGAATGATGTTTATGACTATAGAATGAATCAGTAGGAAATCAAACTTGGTAATCATATTTGTTATGTTAAAAATCATTTTTTCGTAGATGATGAGCGATTTTTGTTAATTTACATTGACGAGAAAAACAGCTCTGTTGTTCCCATTGAAACTTAAATAACTTAACCCATTGAAAAACAGATTTTATTTAAAAAACACAATTTATTTGAGCAACAAGAGGAAAGTTATCATACGATTATCATACAGTTATCATACGAATAGAGATCAAAGTTATTTAAATATTCAGTTGTTCGTCCAGTCGAAATTTATATCAGTAAGATCATAGAAAAACTTAGTTTGTTTTAACAATAATGCAATTATGGTGTAGGAAATGTTGCGTTAATTTCAGTTAATCGAAGTTGTCTGAAAAGAAAGAAATATATGTGTCTGAAAGATGATATTTTACACTGCTTACGCTTCTCGACAAAATACTTCTTGACTTATTCGATCATCTTTTATACCAGTTGGTGTCTGATTATACTGAGTAATGCCCAGTGCTTCTAAGGCTGAAACAAATGAAATCCAAATATATATATTAAATATAGAGTAGTTATTTTAAAAAATCTACAGGTGGAATAATTTTTCCAATAAGCAAAATGAAATCATTCGACAAAAGAATAGTTTTTACCAGAAGCATATTGTGCGTAACTAACATATCCTCTTCCTACTGGATCTAACATTCGAAAAATAGAATTAATATCATTATCCTGTATCAAACTTGGATGAGCAAAACCGGACGATTGTGCTTTTTTCAATTTTTCTAAAAAATCGATCATAAATTCTTTAGGATCCTCTAAAAGAAAAAAATAATGAATATGAGACTACAGTCAGTTTTCGAGAGGAAATAGACGTTCTAAAATGTTATACCTGGTTTATTATAGACCAATGATGCTGAAATATTATTGAACAGATCATGAATGCGATGTGTTCGTAAATAATCAGCAGCCGTTTGCTCCAGTTGATTTTGTGGATTTCCTAAATTTTTACGCGAATGGGCCATAGTCGTTCGATTTTCTAGAATTAAAAACTTCGTCATACATGATATAGAAACTGTAAAGTAATCAATGTGATATCTGTAATACTTCAATCTTATCCAACTGTATTCGATGAGCAAACATTTAATATATAAAAGCGTATCTATTTCAGCAGTTTCACACCGTTCACATCTAAATCCAATATTGTTCGTTGTTTCCCGTAGGACTGCAAGTGTTAAGGAGAGTGAGGTGAGAGATAAAGTTTGAAAATTTCTAGCAATTCTCTTCTCTATAAACTTTCGTTCCTTGTTCTTCAAAGTAATTCCAGAAAGGGGTTACGCAAAAGATAATACTTGATACGCATTCAAATAATACCAAACTCATTGTCGTCGCTAATCGATTACGGTTGGATAGGATCAAGTTGATACATTCATAAATATATTGAAATATAGAACATGTTTCAACATAAGACAAGTGTGGATGTGAATGAACGACAATATTCATTAAAACAAGGAATACTATTGAAAATGAATCATAAACTAGAGAAAGAAAATTATTCGGTTTATATCTATGATAAAAATGTACAAATTTACAGTCGTTTTAGAAAAAATAGAGAAGATAAAATTCAACACTAGGATATAAAAAATGAAATGAAATATAGAAAGAAGATGATTGCGAACGATTCTGTCCTCTCACATTTGAACTGTTATGAAAAGCAACACAGCAAATGTAATTTTCTGAAAAGTTATCATAAACTTTCCTAACTTATTTTACTATAGATATAAACAACGAAAAAACGACACAGCTACTATTTGTTCATAAAACGAACAATCGTCGGCATGTTTTGGATAACTTTTTAACGGAAAGAGCTAGAATCATGTAGTTTTCAGTATTTGATGGAATATACAATATTTGATTGAATATCAGGATATACTCCATTTTATCTGTGCTACGCCATGAATTTCAATGATAGTTTCAAAAAAACCAACAGAAAGTACTTTGGTTTTTGAAAGGTTTTCTAGAAAGCGTCGGGAATAAGGCAAGGTTTCGTACTAATTTTTACTATAAAATACGGTTAACCCGATAAAATGGAGTATATCCTATTATGTTGAAGTAGCTTGGAACAATTTTGACTGAGTTATGAATTTTTTAATTTTACACCACGGTAGACCTGATTGGGAGACCTCATTTCTTCATAGTTCCACTTCCCATCAATTCCTCTATCAAATACTGAAAATCACATGGTTCTAGCTCTTTCCGTTAAAAAGTTATTCAAAAAATGTCAAGGATCGTTCTTTTTATGAACGAATAGTAATAAATGCCTTTCTAGGTTAAATGCTATATTCTATTAGACAAGACAGTACTCAACACTACTACTGCTGCAAGATGTAAGAAATTATAACAAGATATTCGGCGTCAAACGCACACTCTAAAAACAGAGTGTATCTAAAATTGCTCTTTATACTCTAGAGATCAAATCTTATATAGGATTCGTATAAGAATCGTATACAATACCTGCAAGAATCTTATATAGAAATCTTGCAAAATTTTATATGCTCTAGTCGATAGAAATGCATACTGTAGTTATAAGATTCTTATGTAAGAAATTTATAAGATTTCTATAAGATTCTTATAGTCAAAAAAAAGGAAAAAAAAACTTTTTTTTGTTGCCTGGAGGACGAGGACAAAGTTTTGAACTTTGAAATTTTTGAATATTTTTTATAAGGCACTATAAGATTATAAGTATCTTAAGTAAGATTATAAACTAAAATCTTACTAAAATCTTATTCAATTCTTATAAGATTCTTATATTGCGAATTATAAGAATCTTATAATTACAGTATGCATTTCTGTCGACTGTGGCATATAAGATTTTCGTAAGATTCCTATAAGATTCTTAGCTGATTTCCGTACTTTCGGTTACTAGGGTAGGAACCGCTTTTTCGCTAAACACTTTCCAGAAAGATCACTTTTAAAATACGTAGTGGAAGAACACTTTTGATTAGTGATTCACAATAGAATAGAAATAGAAAAAAGGTCACGTTTGAAACATCGAACTGAAGTGCTAAAAGTATTCTAAAAAAGAACACTTTTTTTGAAAATATTCTTCGTTGCAGTATTTTGAACTGCTCTAAAAAATGCGTGGAGAAGAGGAACTGGTCTTTCCAGCTACGCATTTTCTTTTCACGGTGCACGCATCCAAAAAACAATGTACATCTGTGAGAGAGAGATAAAGCGTGCTTATTGGTATTCAAGAATCACGTTAAAGACACAATACAGCAATAACAAATGAAATCGAAACAATTGATGAATAGAAAAGCGAACGTATGTCAAATGATTATGGATCATTTTAACGAAATGAAATACTATGAATCATTCGCCTCATCTCGATTCAGTGAAAAGCAAGATTGTGATCAGTTAGCAAAATACTAACAACAACAATATCAATCCAAAATCGTTGAATAGTTGACGCTAGTCATCTAGAATTAACAAATAAATATAAAATAATGGTGAGAAAAAATTAAACGACTTTAGTCAAAGATGAATCAACATAAATGCATGAATAATCAAGAAAAACAAAGACACAAAAAAATTAATTACGACTATCAAGCATGCTTTTGCTACCAGACAGTCCAAACAGTATTAAAAATTCTACGAAAGATGATATTAGGCACGTAACGGTCGATGAAGTGGCAAAGTAGTATTTACTGCATAGATATTTGAATTTGATTATTCTAAAGACTGAGGACGTTAATTCTGCCTTCCACTACTAGCACACAATGCAAAACTAAAGATGGAAAACATTTGTTAAAACATATATCTGTAGCAATAAAATTAAATTAAAAGAACAAACACTTAAAAAGTATACAAGAAATTGTAACTATAAAAAGTAACTTCAGTCTGTTTAACTTGTGATTAGTACGAATAAATTTTGCACTTATTAATTTCTTTGTCTGGACATTCTCTTTCTTTATCAAAATAGTAAAAATATCCATCTTTTCGACGTTGAAGCTTTTTCACAAATCCAGAGTCTGGCCATTTATCAATCTTTAATAAATTAAGAACTAGTATATCAATACAAAGGTATCTTCTATTATTCGTGAGATAAGCTAGGCAGTTTTTAGTAGAAATTTTTGTCATGGATGTTTTGTTTTATTGTGGAATCAACAGCACAGTGGAAATTTTACAGTTAGAATTTGCAACTCAATTAAAATTACAATGCCACTTTAATCCACCATGCCATAGTGGATGATAGCATCATATCCATTTCTCTAGTGTGTTATTAAAAACACTGAAGCTAGTTCGAACAGAATATTAGAATAGAACGTATCCTCCATCTACTGGATATAGTACTCTGATGCAGAAGCGTGTGATAAATGTGGAGACTTACTTGTGCTACGTTACGTAATGCTTTATATTCTGTTTCATCGCGATAGCCGGCTAATTGAAATCGATAAGCGTTTTCCACTTCCTTACTCCAATGAGTCGGTCTAAAAAGAGATTTTGGTTCTAGAAAATCCATTGTAGTCATTTCTGTCAATTTTAAGTTTTGATTGATCGTTTAGTTATAAGCCAAAGTATCGTAAGTTTTCTAAACAAAAAGTAGTAACCACCATTTGCGTAGTAAACTGCAATATCTTAGCAACGCTCGTCTACTGAACTGAACCGATTGAGATTGGACAACATGTCACCACTGATACAAACTGTGCACGTGCCGCTACTATCATCAGCAGGTATCTCATGACACAAAAGGAAAAAATAGGGATTCTATTCCGTTTTAAGTCAGTTCGACGAAGTGGAAGAATGTAGCGATGAAAACCTGCTATGTGACATAATGTTTGGTTGAATGCTAAATTTTTTGACCAAGTTGCGTGTGGAAACATTGTACAAATAAATCTGCGATTGTATTATGTATCTGCAAGTATAGCAACATTTCGCAACGCTTAATGACCACAGCGTTTCAGCTTTGGTTACTTGTTCATATAAGCTCAACAGTTTACATATGCCATTCAATTCTCGATGTGAGCAGATAAGTCGAGAGATGATTAGATGACGATGACAGTAACGAGAGTAGAGTTGTGTTTGGTGGTTGTATAACGAATTCCGTATTTTGTTTTCGATTAATTCGTCCTCTCTCGATGATCTTTGTTGTGCATGTGCTGTTAAATCGTTTTTTACCCTTGATTTCCGCAATTTAAATCTCCATTTTAACGTTATGTATAGTTGAACGTTGTCTCTTAGGCATCTTGTATCTCATCAAGCCGACGAAATCAGTCATTGTTGAGTATGGTTAATTATCTGGTAATATTTCAACTACTACTTAAAGTGTACAATTCTTTTTATCTGAAACTTTTCATTTGTTAAAGAGATTAAAAGAGAATCTCACAAAGCCTACTCAAAAACTTTATTGTTCATGAAGCTCTTTATTACACAGAAAGTGAACTTTTCCGGTGACTTTTGTTCTCGGTTATAACAGTTGAGTGTCTGTGGCAATAGCCAACAGAAAGGCAAAAACGTGTCTATTCTGAGAAGAATGACTTCAATAAAAGAATAATCTGTAACTCTGTGAGAGTATATCAAAAAGAAAGACGACGGGAATATCTCATTTTGTTATGAATTTTCTCGTATTTAGGCCACGCTGATTAAAAACATTTTATGCACCAAGGAGATGTGTCACGCTAAACCCCCAAAAAATGAGTTTAGAAGTTCAGCTCTGGTGATTACCGATTTTAAGTGTAGAAAACAGGATGATCTGGCCCGTATGGTCTTGTCCTCTGTTTCGTGCAATGAAGCGCTCACCTCCTTCACTCGACGGTACAGCCCACTGGTTAGGAGGTGTTGTGGGAGTTGACAGTAGAAAGATGAAATTGACTATGTTATTTTTTTCACCAAAAATATTTTTTGTTTCTCTAGGGTCAAGCCAATCACGAAAAACCAATGAAACAATGAAACAAAATAAAACAATGAAAAATGAAATAACACTTAAAGCTCATGACTCAGCTATGTTTCGTTAGATGTAGGCTGTAGATTTCATACTGATACTCAAAATCTTTGATTTTACATCCTATTTCCTCAATATTCTGTCGCATAATAATCGGAAGACATAGAACATAAAACATCATCGCAACAGAAAGCTGATTTCAAATTAATTTCTTGTCATTTAATTTGTTAGGCGCCGAATAAATTTTCACTTAGGAGCATTGTACAAAAAATTAATTTCTAAGAAAGAAATTATTTTATGAAAACGAGAAAATTCCGTCAAAAAACGCTATTAAAAATTAATTGGTCATCACCATTATAACGATCAAAGATCTCATCCTCTCTGAAGGTTCATGTGACACATTAATAATAATGACGTCTCAGCTCTCCTGTATGCTGTTATCCAAACGCTTGCTTATGGCTAAATATGTTAGCCATTGATGTACGGAGGAAGAATTTTATAATATTAGCTTAAGATGTGAACGATATATATATTAAATATAGAATTTAAGAACATAAATCATAAATAGTGATTAAGTCATTCATTTCAGTTTCCGTAAAAGGTAGTTTACACGCCCTAAATGTGCCCACAAACTATGTCAGTTTGCAAAGGACATCTGATTACATATATCCTGAAGTTTTTTTGATGAACTAATAACTATTCACAGAGTTATTAATTAATTAAGCTTAAATTTTAATTAAAATTTGAAGGCCTAATTCGTATTTTAAAAACCTTGTAGCTCAGTCAAAAATAATTGTAGAAAAATCATCCATGCATTTCTTAATAGCCAATGGTTTGTTGTTATTATATGGTATGATGAAAAAAAACTTTAAAAAAAGTTTTTTTAAGACAATAATTTGTAATTAATCATGCTAATGATACTAATTTATATCACTCTGGTGCCTTACACTTTTATTTGCAAATTAACGGTATATTGGAAACGGTAATGCAATACGTCATTCGACAGAGATTTCCAAGCGCTACAAACGTCAGTATTTCGTTTTTATTTCCCAGATAGTCAAACACTTCAGATCACAGCCCACACTACGTTAAATTAGAGGGGGGAGGTGGAGTCTCCCTTAAAACACATAGAAAGTCTAAATTTAACATATTTTGACTTCATTTTTAATTGTATCAAGTAGAGGACATTTGATAAAATGAAGTCTACACAAAGAAAAGAATCCTGTCAAGCTCACCTTTTCCTCATGTACAAAAACAATGACTAGTCGTTCTATTTCCTAACTTCATTTTGATTATTAAGCAAAATTTTAGAAATATCTTCATATGGAATTATTGATACTTTACTGATGAGTTCAAACCAAAGAAAATATTTAATTTTTGCGACGGAAAAATAAATTTTACCACGTCTGACCAAACTATGGTGTCTTTTTGTGAAAAATAGTTTTCTTTTTCTTTAGTGATGGTGATTGTTATATATATAGATATTTGTAGAATATTGTTTTTAATAGTTTTTGGAGAAAAAGATCAGCACAAAAAACTGAATTAAATCATCTTAAAAAAACTTCTCCTCATACATTTAATCATTGTTATTGATGTCTCTTCTACTCACATGTATATAATACAAACATTTCTACACACATAAAAAAAAGCATCTTGAAAAATTGAACTAGTAAACAAAAGAAAAATAATTCATATAAGACAATTAAAAATCACTATTTTAAATTATTATTGCTAAATAAAAATTTTGATTGCAAAATAAAACAACAACGACGAGGTTGCAGTTACACAAAAGAAAAGATACAATTTTTGTAGCATCATTGTAGTTCACAACTATGTGTAATAAATATTTAAAAAAAAAATAATAAAGAAGCAGCTGTTACACAATTCAAAAATCAAAACAAAAAGATGATTAAAAGAAAAAGTCAGATATGAGTGCCAAATTATTAGAAAATATAGAAAAGAATAGCAGGTGAAAAATAAGCAATAACTTATAATAGTTAGTTACTGTTAGATGTATGGTTTTATGAAAAATCCACGGTGTACTACAATTATGAGAGACAATAATTGCAATATAAAATTACAGGTCTTCTTCTTATGTAGTGAAAGAGACAGTTTTCAATTCTGTAACAAATGGCAATTGAAGAAAAACGATTTTATCCTATAGTACGCTGTTTTATATGTACTGCTGAAGAAAAAATGACGATCGTAAACATTAGAAATACGTTGGTTAGTGAGCAGTCGTTTATTTTTACGAGCTATAGAAAGTGGCCTTGTTCTTATTAATAAATAATTATAAATAAAACATTTTCTCTTTTGATCATCTTTTTGTGAGAAAAAAAACTGTTCATAGAGGAAGAAAAAAAACAAAGAAAATTAAAAATAACATTGACGTGAAGGAGTATAATACTACCACAATTATTATAAGTCAACCGGTTCTTGATGATGATGATGACGGGTACCTAAATTGAAATCAAAATAGGTTAGATGTGAATATTTGAAAAAACAGAGTAGAGTTCACTATAGTCCAAAGCATATTCTGACACAGCGGGACCAATTTTTCAGTCGATAACTCATCAGCACCCAACGGATGTGTTTTTTTACGTTCTTAATGTCCAGTATATTACTCAGCTGCAACCACTTGCTCACTAAGGACTGGGGAATTTCCGTCAGATTAAACGACAACTTCATTTCCTCTCAATCTCGAACTCAAATCCCAACTTCAACAACGCTACGCCCTATTTCATTTTTTTTCAGTGTAGTTTTTGCCTTAGTCTTATTATGACTGTTGGAATATATCTGAATATTAGCGTCGATAAGAATGCTCAGCAGCGACAGGACATAACAAAAATTTTATTAGATCATCAGAAAACTGTCCAATCAACAGAAAATTGATCTTCTACGCAAGGCTATAGCGCTTATTTCGCATTTCTCAGCTGTGGTGAAACAACAATTTATACTGAAATAGATTAACTCGTCTAGCATCTTTAGTGAACAAAGTCAGCTAAAATGGTAAATTAGAACGAAAAATACTGATAAAGTTATTAGCTTGTTGTTCAAATATGAAGAATATAGAATGTGAGGACCAGAGTTGCCAGATGCTCAAGTTAGAAATGTGAAATAAAAATTCCAAAATGCGGAAGAAAAACGAAAACGCATTTTCACAGTCTAACTTCATCCTTTTTCACGCGCGTAGAGTCAAAAAAATGTTTTCTCTAGCACTTTGTGGTTTTACTCAATAAAACACGAGACAACGACAAGAAGAAATATATCTCGATTTTAATTGACGCGTTGTTTTTTGACTGTGTATTTTTGATTAAAATGAATCAGTTTAAGCAGCTCTGACATTGATAAGAAATAATTATAAATCATATCACCGATAAAAAAAAATTAAAGTTTGTTAAGAGTTAAAGGAGAGTGCTTTTTCGTATTCAGCACACTTGATAACCTGGAAAATTTTCTATTTTTAGCGAGGGTACCGCCAAAAAGTTAAGAAAAATTTTCAGACAAATTGACGCAGAAAAGTCTCCATGGTAAAATTATACAATTTTGAAAATTTTTCTTAACTTTTTGGCGGTACCCCTCGCTAAAAA